CCCCCCCGAACAAAACATACCCCCTCCCCCCAATCCAAAACCAGAAATGGAAACAAACAAATAAACAAACAAAACGAAGCACTCCAAAAACCCAACAAAAATACAAATGAACAAGAAAAACAAACAAATATACAAACAAACAAACAAACAAGCAAACAAACACACACACATATTTATACACACGCACAACTCGAAAAAGTAACCTTCGGTTACGATCGCACTGATATTTCCCGTTTGTTGTTGTTTTTTTCCTTCACCCAGGTTCAAGTATCGAACTCTGGCTCTCTTCGGCTCCGTGGTCCATTCGCTATCCATCACGAGCATCGCCTTCTGTCCAAACATCGGCCTTCTCGGTGTTTTCTTTGCCCTGATCGGCGCGGCTCAAGCGTTCATCGTCCTCCCCCAGACGGCTCTGCTGGGTCACTACTTCAAACGACGCATCTCCTTCGCCAACGCCGTGGCCAGTATGGGTATCAGCATCGGGACCTTGACAGGCACACCGTTTTGCAAATATTTGTTGGACTCCTATGGACTCCGCGGGGCTGTGCTCCTTCTTGGGGGTTTTGCTATGCATAGTGTTGTTGCCTCCATGCTCTTCCGACCCTTGTCGTCCTACAATCAAGATTCGACAAACACAAGTACAGTTGACGAGACGGAGGACTCTGTCAGCAAACATGAGCTCTCAGAGTGTTCACATTCCCAGGAAAAGGCTGAGGAAATTGCATTGCTTAAAGAGGGACAGAATGGACACGTTGAAAGGTTAGAAAGAGAAAACAAACATTCGACATCAGACGTCCTTTGTCCAGATGACAAGTCCAGTCTTACCCAGAGAGATGGCACAGTGGATCAGTTGGAATTTAACAAATCTGCAATTGTCATAGGAAAGTTAAGTGACACCCACAAGCAAGAAGAAGCTGGTCCCAATCATACATTCGGCAGCAAAAGTAGCCTAAAAGATTTAGTTTTGAGACCTCTCGCAAATTCAAACATCTTATCCAAATCACTTGACCTTTTAAATGCTTCAAGCAGCATCAAGTACATGAGCACACCTAACTTAAGCAACTCCGTGACGCTGTATAGCCCAACTATTCCGAACTCGAAAGAAGTCCAGCAGTTGAGGAGCCCTGGATCTTCAGATACTAAAATCAATGAGTTGGACATCATGCCTGGTGGAAGTCGAGGGCTAGCTTCTTTAGAAGGAGACTCGCACGAGGGTAGTAGCGGACGCCGGGGCTCTTGTCTCAAAAGGATCATATTCGCTATACATAATTCTGTTTTGACACACCCAGTAGCTTTTGTTCTGTTTATTGCAGGTGGTATAGGTTCCCACACCGTGACGTCACTAACCTATGTACCGGCCGTTGGTCAAGAAAACGGCCTGAGTGATGATGAAATCCCTTTTCTGCTGACCGTAGCAGGCATCAGCGATCTTGTCAGCAAATTCAGTGTTGGCATCGTGGCGGATCTCGGCTACGTACAGCGCGTGTATATCGTGGCTTTAGCGCAGTTTCTCGTGGGCGTTGTCTTCCAGATTGTTCGTTTCTTCAAAAGTTTCGGGCTCATGCTGGCTCACCAGGTGATGCTTGGCTACACTCTGGACGTGGTCCAAACCCTCATGCCCGTCCTGGTAGTGGACTTTCTGGGCGTGGACTACATTGCGCCGGTCATCTCTGCCTTCTTCCTGCTGATGGGTGTCGTTCACACCATCGATCACCTGATGGTGGGGATATTCAAGGACTCATTCGATTCTTTCTACCCAGGCTACCACTATTTCGGCAGTTTGGACTTTCTCAGCGCTGTTCTTTTACTAGTCGTGCCTTTGTTAGTTCGATGTACAAAACCAGTTAAGAGAGACAATAAGGTTGAAAAGATCGTGGAGGAGTGCTAACCATTTTTCGTTGTTCAGCCTTTGTTTCATTCACTATCGTCAGAGACAGACAAAGAGATAGACAGACAGACAGACAGACAGATAGACAGACAGACAGACACAAGGATAGATAGAAAGATAGAAAGAGATACTGCCGACTAATGATCATTTGAAATTGTCGGGGTAGTCTGAAAAGATCAACTCATCCAAAGTTCAACAAAACAGTCGGAACTACAAAACCAGGGGACATAACAACGTATTTGCCAGTGCTCATGTTTTAACGTTTGAACTAGTATTTGTAAAAAAAGACGGCGACAGGAGCAATAATATTCAACCTATTAATCACCGCTCGCACGTGCATGTGTGTGAATGTGTGTGTGTGTGTGTGTGTGTGTGTGTGTGTGAGTGGGTGTGGGTGTGGGTGTGGGTGTGGGTGTGAGAGAGAGAAAGAGAGAGAGAGAGAGAGAGAGAGAGAGAGAGAGAGAGAGAGAGAGAGAGA